TTCTTTGGTGTTTAAAATCTTTAGGTCTGCTTTTTCTTCTTGGCTTTTTCTTTAAATAGGCTAGTTCCCTCCACTTCAATAATATTCCATAGCTGTTGTAATTTAGAGCATTCTGCCAAGTGATCTCGTGTTTTGGTTTTTTTCCCCAGGATATTTTGCATTTGTCATCTGGGTAAATATCTGCTCTTCTTTGGTGTAGAGTTTCCATTGTTGGAAGGTGATTGTTTAGATATTTGATCTTGAACACCTATTTCTTGTTTACTTTAGAGCTTCTATAGTTGCTACCTTTAAATTGACCTATATTGCTTCAAACCTTTTTTCAATTAATTGCATTTGTGTCTTGTTTCATTTCTACCCACTTGTTTATACTCTTTAGGTTTTTCTACTCTGTGTTAATACTAACTGCAGTTAGTTGTGTGATGAAGCTTCTTGTTGCATTATCTACTCTTAGACTTTTCCACTTAAGTTCAAATATTGCTCGTTTGTTCCATGGCTATTTCGGGAAAATTGGTATAGAGTGAATGGTACCTTCTTTTGTAAGAATATCTGCTTTATTATTTTCTTTGATTCTACAATGTGCTTTAACCTTTTCTAATCTAATCTGCAGCTCTTTTAACTTGACTGTGTGCTGTATTTGCTCCAAGAGGCACTGGTTTTTCCTTTTGACTACATCATATAACCTTTTTGGGCTTAGGCTTGCTTAAATTGCCTGTATTGCGGCTGTACTATCAGTTAGTATCTTGACTACTGACTTGTATGAAGCTGCTAAAAGGGCTGTTCATATTGCATCTAGTTTGGCTCTTGTGGATGATAGCCAGTCCTTAATTGTACTCTGGAATCTGGCTATTATATTTTTATGTATTTTGAATCGGCATGCTAAAATGGCAACTCAACCCAAACTCATTTTCATTTTCTTTGGTTCTTTCACTAGGTTCAGTAATGAGCTGTCTGTATAAAATATAATTTGCCTTCTCTTTCTTAACTGAGATGCTACTTCTTTGATCTTATTTATGGCTTGTATGTCTTCAAGAGCTTGATTTATGATCTTTTCTTTTAGTAGATAAATAGGTATGTTTTCAACTGAAGATTCTCATATGCCCCTTGTTGTATTTAGGCTTTTCTCAAACCACTGCGATATATCTACAATACTACTAAGTGGAGTAGCTAATTTCCATAACTGGTTCTGGGTAGATACCTTTCATAATATCTTTGGGAGAATTTTCCGTATTTTGTTTTTCTTTAACTTTCTTATACAAGATATTTCATCTTCTAAGTGCTTTATAGAGCTGAATTCGCAATCTCTGTATTTAACCAATTTGACTGTTGTTTCTTGCAGATCTTCTATGTGTTCCCAGTGTTCTACTAAGATAGTTTTCTTTTCCTTTTTCTTTGCGATTTTCTCTACTAATATCTTGTTTTTAGCCTTGAGGAGTATCTATTCTTTTTTTCTTTTGTCGTTACTTATTGGTGCTAACTCTATTTTGGAGGAGAGACAGTTAGGTGTCTTGGTTCTGAGCTCAGCTTTGATCTCTCTGCTAATTGGGTTTTCAATTATCTTATCCTCTAGCTTTTTCATCCATAATGGAGTTTTTTCCCTTACTTTTTGCCTCTTGCATTTCTTGATCTGGCCCCAAGTGAGCATTTTTTGCCCTGTACTATCTAGTATCTGCTCTATTACCAGGATACCTGTTTTTTTTTCTTGTATAAAACCTTTAATCATTTTCTCATCCAGAAAATTTATAATTTCTACTTCAGCTTTTACAAGTCTTAAACTTTCTTTTTTTTCTCTAGATTTTATATTTATATTTTTTGCTTCACTTAGGATTTTATATGCAAAATTATGTTTGAGCTTAACCTTCTTTAGCCTTGCTGAGTCTAAGCTTGTTATATACTGAGTATTTTTATAATCTATCTAAGCTTGCTGAATTTTGATCCATGTAGCTTTGCCGATTTCATTGTTTTTATTTATATGTTTTCTTAGCTCTGTAATATGATAGGCCATCTGATTCTGCAAATTGTTTTAAGGCTGACTATATTTTTATATGCCAGGATTGCATTTGCCATGGTGCTAGCTAAGCCGGATTTGTTTTTAACTAGCTTTAGAATAGGGCTTTGGAGTTTGTTGCATTGCTCTCTTGGGATTATGCAATGTTGTAAACGGTACTCCAATCTTAAAATAAGTACTCTATTGTTAATATATACGAGTTGTACTAACGAGGTGTTCTTCTTATGTATTGCCATGCTGATTGCTTGTATTTCTTTCTTTGCAATACTTCTAATATGTGACTGACTATGTTTTTTGGATAGCCAAATACTGAGAAATCTCATTAGCTCACTTGCCTTCTTTTCGAATACTTTTGCTTTCGGTGTGCCGAATTCTATATATCTAGGCTTCTTTATTTTTTTTCATCTATTATAAGCAGCTCTGATTTCTTGCTGTTGATTTCAATATTATTTATTCCATAAAACTCCTGTGCTATACTAATTGTTTTTTCTAGTTCTTCCTTGCTAGATACTATGAAGGTTGTGTCATCAGCATATACAATTGCAGTGATTTTTAAGCTTTGTCGTCATGTGTGATTTTTACTTAGATCGCTAGGCCATTTCACCTTGAGTTCATAACCATGCCTTCTGTTCTTTTGAATTTCTGTTAACAGGGGGTCGTAAAATATCCTTCATTCAAGAGGAAGATTACTTCTCCTTGATCAATCTCATCTCTTGCTACAAATCTTTAGATGGTTTCTAGGCTTGTTAAAACTTCCATTTTATAGTTATCGAAGAGTTTATAATGAAACATGTTAGTGGCTTTGGGATTTTAATTCTTTGCAATGCGATTGTAAGCATTTTCAGCCTTATGGAGTCAAATGCCTTCTTCATGTCCTGAAATAAGAGCTATATTTCCTTCTTCTTTTCTTTCACTTCCTCTACTAAGCAGTTAATAAAATGCACTGGTGCTGCTATGCCCTTTCCTAAAAGACCCACAAAATTCCTGCCTTTTAATATTTCTTTTTCACTAAGGATTTTAGCCAGCCTATTTGTAATCACTCTTATTACTGTTTTTCGGAACGATTCCAACAATAGGATTGGCCGCATATTGTTTAAGTTGTAACACCAATTTTCTGTCTTGGGTATTAGGTACAAGATACCTAGCTTCCACTTTTTTGGCATAGTACCTTCTTCTATACACCTGGAAGCAAAATCGAGAAAGAACCTTCTTGTAGTAGAGCTTGTGTTTCTTATTAGTGGATATGTGATACCTGTTCTTCCTGGGGCTGACTTGGTTTTGACTTGCTCCAAAGCCTGCTTCCATTTAGCTGGACTAATCTTATTTGTGATATCTTTATACCAAGACTCATCGACATCTTCTCATGGGGCATACTAGTTTTTCCATCTTGCTGATATAGCCTCTATTTATACTGTATTTCTTGTACAAAATTGCTTTTCAAAATATTTTTTAACCTCCTTTAATATATCTTCTGGCTCATAAATTAGTTCTGCTTCTTTTTCTGTCTTCTTAACTACTTTGTCTATTTTGATTTTTCTGTGAGGTTAGTCTAGGAGGCTATTGAGCATTTTCTGTTAGTTGGTGACAATTATACTATGCCTCTCTTCTATACTTTTTCTAATTTCTGCTTCTTCAATACTTTTGATTCTTTTACACCACTTCTTGTGCAGAATTTTTGCCCAGTTTTTAAGACCCTCTGAGCTTAGTGTGTCTATTTCATCTTCTATATCGTTACCAACCAAAGCATCAACCTTCTCTAGTGCACTAAGTATATTGTCTTTAACTATGTCTTGTAATGGTTCTTTCTTCGCTTTATAGTAGCCTTTGTTACATGCTTTTACCACCAGCCTTAGTGCTCATACTTCGTCGCTTTTTTTGCTAATTTTCAGGATTTTTGATGATTTTTCCCTTTCAGAAGACTTGTGTTTGCCACTGTTCTAATGCATTCTTCGATTATATCCAATTCCTCATCTATGTTCTTGGGTTTGTACTTGTTTTAGTAGTCTTTTATTTTCTTTTCAAGGCTCTTTTTATACTGGATCCAGTTCTCTTTAGAGGTTTTACTTAAATCTAAGTTGACTCTTTTTCTGTTTTCTCGCCTTCTCTTAGCTGCTTCTGTTTTCCTTATTTCAACATTCTGTAGCAATACTTGCTTTTATCAATTTGTGATTACTCATAGTGCAGAGATCTATGTCATCAACTCTGGTATTAATTATACTGCTTTTCTATCTATCTGATACCTATATATAATCAATTCTAGTTTCTGCTTTTCTGTTTAACCAGGTTGAAGTGTGGGCCAGATCTTGTATATTATACATATTCTTTTCTTTTAGAAGCGCTATAATTTGTTGTTTTATCTTGAACTTAGAACTTGTACTTTTACTTCACTATCTGATAGATCTGGTGTAATAACATTCAGATCGCCTAGAATTATAAAACACTGCGGCTTTCTGTTAGGTCTTTCTAAAGTACTTCTAAGTATATGCAAAATCTCTTCTTGTCTTGTTTTGTTATTTGGGGCAACGTATAGAAAGATTATAATTATTACTAAACTTTTAAAGTTTAAACTGAGCTTTAAAAAATATGGGTTGTCCCATGACATATGCATAATATGTTGTTCTCAATGTTTCTTAATTAGCACCCCAGGCCTGATTCTTTTTTCTTACTCTCTTTAGAGCTTGCCCAAAAACTTTTATATACCTTTGTATTTTTTGTTGCAAAAGTGCTTTCTATATTATTAATGTTAGTTTCTTCTAAACTCAAGATGTCTATTTTCTTCTCTTTTGCAAAATCTATTACTGCTCTTTGCTTGTTTTTGTTGTTTTTTATCCCATTAATATTATGAAATCCAATATTTAATACCCCTAATTGTTTATATGTTATAACTTTTTCCCTTATTACTTCGGGGAGCCGTCTCTCTAAACCTTCTTCTAGTGGCTCCCTTTCTTTACTCTTTTGAGGTTCAGAATGATTATTTAATACGCCTTTGGTGACCTTAAGAGCAATAAGCTAAGGTGTCTCCTGCTGATGGCCCCTTTTGACTTTCAAGCTTGTTAAGTTTGTTTAAAATTTTTGACATTATATTGTGAATTGAGTTGTTTTTGGGATTAGAATTGTTTGTGAGTTTTATTTTCTTTTGACTTTTGGGTGGTCGGTTTTCTTTTTTATAATCTTTCTTTAACGATTGGCTACTGTGCTCTACTAATTTTACTGAATTTCTACTAATTTTTTGTACAAGAGACCTATTAACTTTGTGCTTTCTTTCTTCTTCATCTAATAGGTCTAAGTTCTCTCTTTTCTTTTTGGTTTTTGTAATACTAGGCTCTTCTATTTCTTCTTTTTCTTTTTCCTTTTTGTGGCTAGTGGATCTTACAATTGAGTTTTCTTTGTAAAGTCAATTACTTGTATAGCTTTCTCTCTTATATTCCTCTGCCATGATTCACCATTCTAGTCTAGTATTAAAATAGTACATGCCTACACCTTGGGCTTGTATTATATCTTCTCTTAATTTAAAGTAAATATATGCCCTTTTGTTGCGATTGTCATGCTGGTTCTCTAAAGTGTAGACTGCCTATACCTTGTACTTTTTTAGTTGGTGTAGAAGTAGACTGTTATATGTAGTTCTTAGAATATTATAAATTATGCTTTTAAATCTGTTTCTTTTTTCAAGCTCAGTATAGCTGAATTTGCCTAGTGTTGTTCTATATGTTTTATCCTGACTTAACTAAACTGACTAGCTTTCTCTTAATGCGCTCTCCTGGCTTTCTATATTACACACTATTTTAATATATGCTGCTTTTGTAGAGAAGCTGTGTTGCTAGGCTATAATTGTTGCTGAGCCAAAAAATTCTAAATACCGTAAACTGCCGTATAAACGACTCTCACATATCAGACCCTCTATAAATTAGACCCGGGTCTATAGTATGGGGTCAATTTTTAATAAAATATAAAAGATCCGGGTATACAAATAGGAATAAAATTTTAAAAAACCCAGGTATGATACTGTGTAAATCAATCCACCAACCTGATATGATCATCAAAATTAGCCAATTATAATAAAACCTGCTATACTATATCAATAAAGTTAAATTTGCAAAGTTTTTTGAAAAAATTACATTAAAATCTTCTTTATCATCAAGAAGCTCAAGGTAATTATTTGAAAGCATTAATAGGGGATTCACCAAATAATAAAATATTCCAAGTGTATACTAATATTTTAAGATACAGATCTTTGTATTTCTGTAATGAATTAGCAAATATTAACAAAGATAAAAATAACATTAAAACGATTAATTTAAAACATGTTTCTATTCAACATTTTGAAATAATGACTAGATAAGTGTATATTTAAGCTAAACCTTTATTTTAAAGTAACGTTCTTATGGATCACTAAGATGATGGTTACTTAGTTTATATATTATGTATATATAAGAACTAATTTTTAAATTATTAAACTTACTAATTTAATAGATATATTTACAGAGAAGTGGTTTTGTTAGAAAAAAATCAAGACACATTATTTATTTTTGAACTCATCCTTGTTGTTTCTGAATTTCATCTTGATGAATTGTCAGAAAAATTTACCTTACTTCCAGAAAATGCACTAATTTCACTTATTAAACAAGATAAATGAAAGGAAAATTTGGGATCATGTTATCAGATGGGGAATTGATCAAAGTACAGATTTACTGACAAATAATAAAATTTGATTACATGAAAACTTTTAATTTTAAAGACTAATTTACAGAATTGTTTACCTCTTATCCGCTATTTTTAAATGTCAGGTGAAGACATTTTTAACAAAGTAAAACCAGATAAAAATATTCTTGAAGAAAATCTTTGGGATGATTTATTCCAAAAATCTGTTATTCCAAATAGACAGACATTATCCATCTCGTAAAATTTTAACACCAACATTACTATCTAGAGTAACTTATTCAGTTATCAATGAAGCTCATGCAGTGATAAGAAAACTGAAGCATATTTTGTAATGAATAATTCATACAAATTTAAATTACTTCTTCATATTATGGCATTACCAGTTATAGCATTATAGCTTTACGACATTATAGCTTTATGGTTTAGCAACAGCAAAAAATATAGCATGTGTCGTAACGTATTAATTTGTAAAATTAATAAAATTAATTCTACCACCAACTATAAGTACACATATATAAAAGATTAAATATAACTAAACCTTTATATAAATTTTCATATGTAAATTTTCCAGTTATCAGACCCGTACCCATACAAGAGACCCGGGGGTCTATTAATAGGTTTTGAAATGGGTAAAATATAACAGACCCGGGTCGTTTATATGGCAGTTTATGGTAATTCTTGATTTCATTTCTGCTCACTTCTTTTGGGATATTCTATAGTATAAACAGATATTGTAACTTATTTGCATTCTTTTTGGTGCTGAATTTCTCTTTTGGCGCTCAGGCTAAGTTATATATGTCATCATGGCTTTTAGATCTTTTATTATACTTCTTGGCTTCTGGCTCTTTACTGTTAAAAACTCTTTCAGCAATTTTCTTTTCAAGTCCGTAGTCTGTAGTACTACACTCACTTTTGATTAGAGCATTTATTTTAACCTCAAGATTGCTTTCAGCTATATGTTTATTAATTTCATGCTCCGAAAAATTCCTTTTATATGTGATGCCTTGGTCTTTGGCTAATACAAGTTCATTGTGCTAAGGTTTTACTATCTTGGGGTCTGTAAAGTTAGCTGCCATTGAGATTGCTTTGGAGTCTCTATTGGTATTCAAATTTTGTGAATTTTTTAAAGTAGTGTTATAACCAAGAAGGTTTTTTTCCTCGAAAGAGATTTTTTGCTCCCTGATTTCTTTGTGTCTGGCCCAGTTGTATAGATGTAACATATTGCATATAGTAGCTATTAGATAAATGTCCTCTGTGTTTAGATACTTTGTGATATGTCTGTCCTCTTTTAATATCATTGCATGCAGCCCACTATATTGCTAGTTTCTTTTCATCTGTCTTCTTAAAGAAGTTTTTGTACTTTTCTAACTCTGTCATCTCTTATAATTTTGCTTCACATGATTTGTGTTGCACCTGGTTGCTTAAAGTGTTTTAAATATGATATTTTAATACTGGGCTTGGTGTTCGAATATACATATTTTTACGTGTTTTTCACGTGATTTTACGTGTTATATCTATGTCTTCACTTGTGTATAGTTGTGTAGCTTTGTGTAATGCAATTGCGTTATATCAGAGATCTGCAGTACAGAGTTAGTGCTATTTTCACTATTGTTGTCGATATAAAAGAAGTTTTCCTTTATGACAAAATAAAGTCTTATACTACTCTTTTTATACTCTAATATTGATGTGTTTTAAAGCTCTGCTAACTTTTATTTCTCCCTATGACTATGTGTTGCCATTTTTGTTTAGCTAGATACTGTTTCGCTTAAATATTGACATGTAGCAGTTAACCTTATACTATGTCTTTTTCCTCTTTCTACTTGTTTAGTTGGCTGCTACTAGCTTGTTGCTAGCTAGATACTTCTCACAGTTTTGTTTTTGTATACTTTTGTGTTTGTTGTAGTGTATATTACTGTATTTTATTGTAGTAAAGACTCTTGTCTTTCCACTGTTTTTGTTGTCAAATGATCGTCAGGGAGAGTTGTGTACTTGATTGTATAAGCTATTAATTAAAAATCATTACTATTTTTAGTATTTTATATAAATTTTTTAGTTTTCAACTATAATTTAAAAAATATTTTATTAAATAAATCTTATTTAAATTTATATATAATTATAAAAAACAAACTTATAAAATTTATTAAGATTAAGCTAATATATTAAAAAAATAATATAAGTCAAATTTTTAAAAAATTAAACTTAGTTTTTAATATAAAGTTTACTAGTAAAATTTACTTGTAAAAAGGCTAAAAAAAGCCAATTTTTAAAAATTCTAAAAAATCTAAAAAAATACTTAGAGCTACCAAATTTTAAATATATGTTGCCCCATATATAAGATACTTTATACAAGTATTTAATAGCATATTAATTTGCTAAATTAGAAGATAAATAGCTTTAAAACTATCACAATATAGTATATTGTATTACCGGTAGTATGGGTACATCTAATCCATTAATATTATAATAGCTATTACCTAATAATAGAGATATTTTCAATACGATTAGCTATGTCTTCCTCTTTGGTCATATAATTCATTAAATACATAATTATTTTGACTGTTGTAAGAACAACACTAGAATTAGTATATTGTATTCTTGGTACAATACATTCTGCTAGCTATTTATATACAAATTTTTGTTTAAATTAGCTTTTATAATAAAATTTTTAAACAAGTTAAATCTTTATTTTGAAAAAAATATAGTCTAAGTATAAATAAATTTTATTTTTTATTTTTTATTTTTATTTTTTTTAACTTCACAGGTTTTGCTGTGGCTTGCTTTTTATTAAAATGTGTATAAGAACTATATACATTTAATTTATAGAACTCAGAGCCCAA